CACACTTCCTGCTTTCCCACTTGGGAAACGGCAAAACAGTGCACCTGCACATGGAGGATGTGTCGTTTGAGGACTCGGCAGTTTACTACTGTGCTGTGGCACCCACAATGACACACGCACCACATTCTCGACACAAGAACATTCCCTGCTTCCTCAACTCATCACACTCACCTCTTATAGAGGAACAGCTGAACTAGACATATAAACCCAAATTCTAAAGTTTTGAACGTTGTGCAAAATGTGAAGAAAACAAAAGACTTTTTTTTTCACCCTCGTTCACTTTTCAAATGGTTTTTGGTCATCGTGAATTTTGAAGGTCAGTGTTTTGCGACGCAGTGTCATGGATGTTCCTGTGTACCAGAAGAAGCCTGATTCGCTTCCTCAACAGTTTATCAGCCAATACTTATTCGCAAGAAGAAGGAGAAGCAAATGGGGCAAAGACAAATTTCAGGTGACACCAAAGAACCACAGTACGGCGCTGTGACTTGGGAGGACATGTCTTTGAATGTGCACGTTGATGTCATTACAACAGGAAGTGAAGACCGTGCCCACTCAACCACAAGTCAGCATTCATGTGAACCGCCAATGCTGCGCCAGGAAGCTCATGCTGACAAATCCTCTGGCACTCCTGCACAAAAACACCTGCAGCCGCCTCGTGTCAGAGACCGCATTGGGGGTGTGGCCTCACAGATGGAGATGAGCCACTGTGACAACACGCTGCTGCTGCTGTGCAGGGGACGATCTTGTCTCATGGGCTCATTTCAACTTCATCTCATACTCACTGATCTTATGTTTTGTTGTGATGTTATGCAAGCACAAGGAGGTCAATGTGTGATGTGACTCTGAGAGCTGCAGTGATTTTGTTTATATACTGGCATGCACAACAATGAAAATGTTTTCTGGCTTTCTCCTCATTACTGGTGCAAGAGGATCCAAGTTGTCCCATTACATTCCTGACATCCACGACAAAGCTCAGGCGTGAAAAAGGATCAGGAGACCAACAAGGGATGGCACTGCTGACTACTACTGCACATCAAGTGACAAAAACAGAAATCCAAACCATCCCCACTCTGTGCACTGATATGAACACAGCTTTGATGACCACACTGTTAAAACCCAATAAATACCCAACGACAACCATCCAATTATCGCCCTGAAATCAGACCTGTTTAAAAGTTACAGAAAGCAATGCTCCTCGTTCTACCTGACCTGCATTTCCTACCCACAACAAACATCCTGTCCCAGTAAGCTTTTGAGACAGAAACCATCACCGCTGTCATCTTGGCGCAGGTGCCATGGCGACCGCTTCCTGTGGAAAGAGCAGCAGAGACACAAACGAGATCAGGCACACAAAAACTCACATTGAAATAGCACAAGTCATTTTTAACTTGTGATCACAAAATAAATACCAATAGGCTTGCAAAATCATGTGGGACTGTTTAACGTGTGGGTAGACTCTCATTTATCCACGTCGTGGCAAAAGTTGAATCGAGGCAACTGATTCTTCTATATTGTTGATTTTTTTTTTTCAAATGGCTTTCTGCTCGCTGAACAATATATTTTCATGCTGATTTGATGTCTGCTTTGTATTGTATTCATAACTTATTAGTTTCTCTGAATGTAGAATCTTGATTGGCCTCTTTGGAGTCATCAATAAAAAAAGGAAGCAACAGCCTTTTAAAAATGTTTCTTTTATTGAATTTTTGTTGATATAATGACGCATTTTATAGCTCACTGACATGTAAAAAGTGACAAGTTCTAACATGAGCGCAGGAGGAAGAGGAAGGCGGTGGGGGTGTGCTGGCTACTCCGGTGCCCCGAACCACAGGCCGAGTGTCATGACACAGTTGATGGCGAGCGTCTTGGCAAAGACGAGGCGGAGGGTGAGGACAGCAATGGACAGGACGTTCACCTTCTCATCTGCCGGCGACATGCACATTTAGCTCAGCCCGACAGACTGCACCTCTTGCACGTTCAATACTAACCTGGCACCAATGCGTCCTGGCACTGCCCTTGTCCACTGTCACCTGTGGCTGCAAAACAGGAAGCAGACGTGAGGTGGTGACTCCACTAAGAAGACGAGAACCTCACCTGACCTTCCTCACCTTCCTCGCACGTGTCGTTGTGTGCGGCTGTTCGCAGTGCAACCTGGTTGTATAACGAGTCGTCCGATATTCGTGCAGCACGAGACTCCTCGAACATGTGTCCTTTCCCCGGCTTCTCAGTGGCATTGTGTCGGCTGAAGCCGGTGGCGAGACATGCCGTAAGGTTGCTGGCCTCAAGTTTGTAGAAGGATGGCTCAAAGTCCTCCCCTAAAACACCAACCACATGCTAACATTAAAGGGGAAGTTGTGCCAAAAGTTTTCATGACCATAATATAGAATATGAATGACCAATCCAGGTGGCTCCCCTCACTCCTTTTAAAATCAAGGCACTCGAAGGACTTTATTGAAGTGGAAAAATTGACTGGGGTCAATGTATGAGCTTGGTGTGTGCAAAGTCCATTAATATAGCGAAACTGCAAGCGCTCCCCTTGTGGATGTCCATGTGACGTGGGCAATTCGAGACAGCCTTGCAACGACTACTCTTTTCGTGTTTAATTTTTATTTTGAGTTTAATATCTCGATCAATATGGAAATGAAACAACCATTGAGATTTTATTTTCAGTGATGCTGTTTGAAATCGGGTGTTCATTTTCCTCGTTCCTGACGTGTCGATTATTTACATTTCGAATATGCTCCAATAGCTTTCACATGTTCGTGACAGAGCTTGTGAAAGTTTCACACAAAGCATGTCAACATGTTCGAGCTGCCAAATAGACTTTGCCATGTTTCCACTCACCAGGCTCAACATTGAATCTGGTACCACACCCAAACATCGACTACACATTCAGACAACGTGAGGCTCAAACAAAACAAGAAAAAATAATATGAACTAGCTACGTTTCTGTTTCAGAATTATCTTCCAACCCCCCCAACCCAAAAAAAAAAAAAATCTCACTTACAGGTTTCCACCGTCAAACTGGTTCCACTTCCAAAAAATAACCTGTCGGATCCTGTCACACATTAGTTGCTTCCTTTACAAAAACCTCCTGAGATCTGTTTTGAACTTGCAACCCTCAACAGGCTTCACGGTGTGAAAAATGCACACAAAACAAATTATTTTATTTTGTTTTATCTCAGTTCATTGAGGTCGTGACACAATTTGGGTCGTGATACATAAAAGCCAAACTTACAAGTCTCCACAGTCAGTCTGGTACCGCTTCCGAAAAGTAATCTCCAAGCTCCTGACACACATCAGTTGGTCCCTCAACAAAAACCCGAAGAGAAACTTTGACAAGAACAGTCAAAATCCTTTTGGGGCGGCACAGCCCAGGTGGTATTATGGTTGTTTTCCAGCCTGAAGGTCTTGTTTCCAATTCTGAGCCCGAGTGACTATGCCTGGGCGTCCTTGAGCAAAATACTAAAGCCTCAACTTGGTCCTGATGCTGATAAGGATTGTTCAAGTTCTTTGAGTGCCTTCACAAGTGCTTTGAGTGCCTTTAAAAGCACGATACAAGCAAAATCTCATTTGTCATTTACCTTCATTTTTCCATGCACAAATAAAATGTATTGTCAGCGTACCAATTATCTGCTCGTTCCAGCTGCATGTATCGGAAAATTTCCCAGTTGCGACACTCAAAAGAGTTTCACATCAGCGGTCCACCTCTTCACAGCGGCATCCCTTAGGGCAACGTTCCTTGTCCACTCGACTTTCATGTCATCCATATCGACTGGACACCCTTCTCCAAGTGTCTGTGATGTTATGAGCATCAAAATAGCTGTGTAAATTTTTCATCATGTTTCCCTCGCACTTGATGGAATAAAAAGGAAGATTCGTGGCAGAAGCAAGCAGGTGAACCTTTCCCCAAAAAACAGCGTGGCGAAAGAAATACAAGTATTCACGGACAATGATGTCAATACAAGAGGTGGAAAATACAAGCTACCCTACATATTAATATCATCCTGATTTCCACTGTCATTGTTGTCCCGCCCCCAAAGACAATCTTGAGCCTGCAGCAGCCTTCTTGCAACAACATCCACTGTGACCCAAATCTGCAACCACATTGGCCACGCCCACCACCTCTGGCTTCACAATACTGGCATCATGTTGCCTCTCTTCAAAGTCCCGCTCAAAAGTCATTCACATCTATTTTATTGTTAACAGGTGGTCCGAAGTAATGGGACAAACTACAGGAAAATAATGCAGGATCCGACATTAACGGTGGCCCAATGGCCTTATGGCACTGGACCACTATGCCACTATTGTCAGGCCACCACCGACAAGCTGAAATTTAATGAATATGAAACTGAAATTCTTGCTTTTAAACAAAATAATGTAGGATTTAAACATTGCGTTTTAGTAGTCAGGCGAGGCAATCAAACTGTCTTGAAACCAAAGGTTCTTTTGGGTTCTAGTCAGTCAAAAGTTGTCTTGTTTGGGGTTCACAGAGAATTTTCAGTGAAAGATTCTTTGTTCAAAAGTAGATGGCCACAATAAAAAACCAAAACACATTCTGCTGGTGTGTGGTAAATTATTTTCCACAACAATATGTCTTGGCTTGAAAAAGAAATAAGGTCAGAAAAAATATTTTTTATCCTAATCTGTACTTTAATCACAGTCAAAACAAGCAAATTTATGAGCGCTATTTGCTTGCCTGGCCACAAGGAGCCAGAAAAAAAAAACAATCCATACAACAAAAAGGGCTTGGGAAGGCAAGGTACAAGAGAACGCAGAGAAGACACAAACGACATATCAAAGGTCCAATAACGTGAAAGCAAATATCGTGATCGATAAGAAAGAATATTGAAAACGAGAGTGACTATGAAAGGCACCGAGCGGTCACACGTTTCCTGCTCTCGCGTCTCACCGAGTGGCAGCACGTGCCGGAAGGTCAGCGAGTATCGAAACTGACAGGAAGCAGGTGCACCTGCATATCGAGATGATTATGCTCATATTTACTTTAATATTAGTTGTAAATTAGTCAGATTAAAATCAAGACAAATATGACGTTCACGCGAACCACAGTGCGCTGATCCGCTGATACATGACTTCCGTCGTGCGTGTGTGATGTCACTGCTTCAGAAAGGCCCCGCCCCCTCAGCAACAAGTCAGCGTTCACGCACACTGCGAGTGCAGACATGAGTCGGGCGCTCGTATGTGTGCTGACGGCTGCTTGGAGCTTGGGTGAGGTCAACATGTGAAGTCACTGCCGCATTCCACTGACGTCTGATCGCTTTTGTTGCCTTTTTGTGACAGGAATCAGCGGCCAGACGGTGTACCAGCACAAACGGGGCGTTCACACCGTGGAGGGTGCAGCAGTGACGCTTGACTGCAGCTACGACAGTTCGGCATACTACATCTTCTGGTACAAACAAGAAGCCAACGCATCGCCTGACTTCATCCTGAGCACAAATCAGTTAGGCAAGAATGCGGAAAAGTACGGTGAAAGGTTTCGCTGCAGCATGGATGCCAGCGCTCGGCAAGCTCCTCTGCATATCGAACGCGTGAAGCCCAGCGACTCGGGAGTCTTCTACTGCGCCCTGCAGCCCACGCTGACACATTCACTGGCGTGCCTGCACAAAAACACCTGCACTCGCCTCATCGCATGAGTGACATTGGGGGCGTGGCCTCACCGGAGTAGATTGGTCTCACTGTCGCAAGAGCTGCAACTCAGCGTGACGACAGGCTGCTACCGTGCTCGAGTATGTTCTTTTATTGTCTCGTTTTTTTACTTCACTCTGCTCTGTAGTGGGTCTGATACTCTGCTTTTTAGGTTATCCCATCCGATATGACATGTAGTTTTCTTCTGGTATTATCCAATTTCTTCTCTTCATTTCTCTTCTCAAGTTATGTTGACAGTGCAGCTCAGACGTCAATTAGGAGGCCAACGACAGCTGACGCTGCTCACCAGTGTAATGGCAGCCTACTTGGCAAATGAAGCTGCAATAAAATGACAAAAGTAGCGAAACGACATCAAACTCCATCGACATATTGCACATGTACAATCCAAATGCAGAGTACTATCTACATGAATCCATCAGGCTGCTGTCACAGACTGAGTCCGCCGCTGTTGTATAATCACGTGACCACAATGAGCCAATCGAATAGTTTGTTCACAGGAAGAGATTTTTTTTTTCTTTATAAGATTTTTTTTTCTTGATCGGAATCTGATGTATTTGTATTTCGTTCATATTAAAATAGAAGCACCAAAAGTAAAAGACAGCCTTATTCTCTTTGTAGTGAGGAAATAGTCTCATCACAGTTGGATTTTCGATGTTGATTCCTAAAATTGAAATAGTACACAGCATGAGACAAAAAAAGAATGGCAGGTAAATTTGTTTTAGATTCCCGACAAGTTTTCTGGTCGTGTCTCCCGTTTTGTTTAGTTTTTTTTAAAAGAGCAAAGATTGCATCTGCGACCGTGTGTGTTTGGGGACTATTCTCCCCACCGTTCTAGGTGAGATGGTATAACCAAGAGGCAAGGTGCCGCTTGCTACTGTTATTGCCAGTTGCCCTTCATGCTACTAAAGCATTAGTCAAACACCATCATGTCTTGTGTCTTTATTAAACAAACATGGTGTCAGAAGTGATCCTACCCACTGCTGTTTTCGATAAGTGCCGTCACAGCTGTAAGTTT